TATAATTATTTGCCGTGAAATGTCTCTTTTAAAAATAATAGTCATATAAATTAAACGTTACACCTGGAGAATTTTCTTTCAAGCTTAAATTTTACAAATTCATATTTCCTACTATGAACCGAAAGAAGTTGTTGGAGAGTTGCCAGGTGTTTGACTAACAGTTGGTTTGTAACTAAGTTTCAATAAATTTGATTAATCTAAACTTAAATCGACGATAAATAGATTGTTTTATTTCCTTTTAGCAGTTGAGTTAAATAAAAAGGAATTACTAAATCTCTATGTGCGATTTTTTACCACCATCAATTTATACTAAGAATTTTATTGATATAGTATTAGGTTCTTCGGAAAGCAATTTTATAAATTTTTTTAATGGAAATATGGAATTTCTTTTATAGTGAATAAATATTTTGTTGAATTATATATTGTCCATTCGGTTAAATACTTTTTGCCATCGTTCTAACAGTAGCATGATATGATTCCACATTTATAAAACTTTTACTCTTTGCTGGCAAAAAAACTGTTCAAGTGATTCTTAATGGTTTCACTACCTAAAATGATATTTAGAAGCTGGAATATTGTTGCAGACAATTGTGATACGCTTCAAAAATGGATAATTTTCTTGACCTTTGAGAAGTAAATCATAGACGTCAATGAAACGGCACAAATTTCTTTCCGTAAGAACAAGAGAAATCTATATGTCGACTTATGAGATTAAACCCTAGACTTTTCAAATGATCATGAACTGTCGAATTCGATAAATTTAATCTCTAAGTGATCTCATGTGTTGTTATTCTCTGGCTTGCATCAATTAACTGCTTTATTGTGTCTTCGTAAGCTTTAAATGGTCCTTCAGGAGTAGGATTTTCATTTTCACCATCAAAATTGCAGGATTGAAATTTTGTAAATAAGTTTCGGCACTGATTTTCTGTCAATACTCCTTCTTCATACACATTGGATAGTTTATTTCTGGCTTGAACAGTTTTACCCTATAGATAGCTGAAAGTAAAATATGGCTAAAATGCAACTTTTCACTTTATATATTTGAAAGTGCACCAACCAAAAACACGTAGAATTAATCAAAGTCTTGTTATATGAACTGCCAAAATATATTATGATTATGCAACTAAAGTGTGAAGTTGTCAATGAAGGAATACAAATAAGTCCTCTGCTGGGAAAAAAACGAAAATACTTTCCAAACAAACCTAATAATAACTAGATAAAATAATGATATAACTAATTCAGCCTTTAAAGCCCTTTACAGTACTGGGAATTGTAAAAGTTTTATCATAATTTTAAATAATAATATGTTTTAATATAAGGAATGAGTAAATAACATACGTCATTCAAAATAGTATGAGAAGATATTCCAAAAAATGTATTATGAGGGAAATTAGAGTAGCGGCGCATCAAACTTTGGTGGTAAAAAGAATTAAGATGACGTAAAGCAGCGGTTTCCAACTGGGAATAGTAAAAGTTTTATCAGAATTATGAATAATCATATGATTTAATATAATGAATGAGTGAATAACATAAGCCATAAAAAGTAGTAAAAGAAGAGATTGCAAAAAAATATATTATGAGGGAAATTAGCGGCAAAAGGAGTAAGACGATATAAAGCAGCGGTTACCAATTTTTTTCGGTTATAGAACCCTATAACAATCGAACTGCTTCTGGAGGAATCCCGTAATTATATTAAAAAAACTTTAGCAACTGTTAATTTACTAAAAACACGACTATTGATTATAATGAAAATATTATATGTAAAGAACGAAAGATTTTAAAAATATGAATTTGTTCTAGGTATATGAATATGATGTTAAAAGTGAATGAAATAAGCTGACTTAATTATGATTTTCAAAAAAGAGTTTTCATAAATACTAAAAATAGTTATCAGTAAGAAGTAAACTTTATTCTTGAATTTAGTTACTTTATTGTGAATTGAAAATTTCTATGAGAATTCGATTCTTAGTTCGCTTTTATAAATGCTTGTCCTTTTCATAATTTAATACTATATTGTTTTTAAAATTTTTTTTTAAATGTAGTTAATTTTTTTTCCAGTGTTATTTACTTGAATAATTTTACATAAACAACTGAAATATTAAATAAATTATGGATTTTTGATTGAATATAAACATAATTATTCCTGGTTTTAAAAAAAAGCCTAACTTTCGGAACCCCTGTAATTTGGTCACGGAACCCTAAATTTCGTGGTTACATCTTTTGGGAACTACTGACATAGAGGAAAATACGTCAAAAAACCTATTAGACTCTGCTAGAGAAAAATAGCTAAATACAGCAGATTTAACATATAAATTTGATTTGGATCATTCTGATTCATATTGCATATTTCAGCTAAGTCCATTCTGATGGCGTAACTCTGGCATACTCTGGACAATAGGTGGTTAGACGAGAGCAAATAATAACAAGTTTCTTTAGAAAGGAACAAACTTTTAAAAGTCCCCCACACATGTTGGATTTACGAGGAAAAATGTGAATAACCTCAATATTGAATGAAATTTTATTGAGATTCAAAACTTAGTTTTCTCTTAACATTACCATTCCTATCGTGAAACACGAATTAAACTAAAAATATAAGAAAAAATGTGGCTTAATTTGACTATTTATTGGTATAAATATAGAATTAATACAACTCTCAAATAAATACAACTCTTGAAAATTGGTGAAAACACTAGGATATTCTACTAGGAGAGTAGGATATATATAATAGCATGAAAATAAAACGGAAATAGTAACACGAAAGACCCCTTAATTTTTTCATCTGTATTTAGTTTCATGCATTTTACCATCTTTTCCACTTCGGAAGATTTAAAGAAAAGTGTTTCATATTTCATTTTTAATTAAAAGTTCTATTTAGTTGTAAATAATTTTAAAAACTCCACATTGAAAATATTTAAATTTTCTAGTATGCAATAGAAAAATAACGTCTAAGTGCACTTCGGGTTGCCATTTTAAGTCCGAATTCGAGTCAATCATCGACTGAGAAGTTCAAATACCCCATCCTTACTACATTATTGAAACATTCAACGGGAAGTGATGATAAGTCTGAACAATTGTCGAGGTCATTATGGTGTTGTAGATGTTATTTTCCTCCTGAATGAGCAAAGATATGGATATTCGAACACTATTAACGAAAATTTGAAAGAAAAATATTTTACGTTTCCAGAATTGTTTATTTAAAAATGTAAAAAAGGAAAAAATTCTTATGGGATGACATCAAATAGATGCCAGATATTCCTAGTGCAGCTGTATAAGAAACCTTATACGAGGATAACACCTCATGTGTGAACACAACACCACGAAGGATTTATTTGTACCCCATTCAGAGGGTAAAGAAAGCTATCTTGTTTCCCCCTTTGCCGATTCAATATATATAAAAAAAGCCAATGACAGATCCATATAGCGTTATAAAAATAGAACATAAGAATGTTTGTCTTTAGGAGAAAAAAAAGTGTATTAGATTGAAAGTGAATGGTGAAATCGATGTAAAAAATGTCCTGGGTTACAGGTCAATATCTTTTCAACAATGGTCGATAACTACTTTGGTGGGGGTTCTCCGATTTCTCAATATTATTTCCTCAACTGATAAATCTTTCGCATTCCCCAGAATTTTTCATGCCATTGTTCAAAATTGAATCAAAACTTTATTATTTATTAAATCAAGCACGTGGCAAATATGTGTGCATTTTGTTTAATTTTTTTCCCTTCTTTTTATTTGGAAATTAATGGTTTTTCCATTAACTCTTGAATAGCAATGATGGAAGAGGTTTTCAAAAATACATGAAAACATATAGTATTACTTATTTGATTTATGAATGGAATGTTTTGTTTTACTGTTATTTGTAAATTGCTATGAACTTTAAGACTTAACTGCATAAAGTTAGAAATATATATTTATTATTTATTTTACTGATATTTGTCTACCGAAAAATTGCAAAAATATTTTTAGATTTTTTTTTTAGAAAAAAATATTAAGAAAGGAAAATAAATATTTATTATCTGTTTTACTTATTGTCTTCAGAAAAAATTCAAAAAAATTTGTAGACTTTTTTTGCAATTTTTTTAAGAAAAGAATATTAAGAAAAAAAAATAATAAATTAAAATGTTCACCCTTTTAAAACAATAATAGCAATAAATGCTGAAGCAAATTTACGTAGGGACTCCGTAGCATTGTAATTTTGAACCTAACTCAGAAAACAAGGGAATTTCTGGATCAAGCGTGGGGACAAACTAGCTTTTTAGGAGCAAACTTTTACAAACTAGAATAGTTTTAACGAAAAAACGATAATTGATAAAATAAATTATGGTAAATAGATAACAAATACGCAATATATATTATATAAACAGTTATATATTATGTTTGGAAAAATAGCATCTTTCCCTTAAGTAAAATAAGCGAAAACGAACTACGGAATATCGCTTAGAATGCTAATCTCACTAATCAATAACAGTTTTTTATTTATTTATTTATTTTTTAAATGTCATGAATACTTACAAAAGACCACAAAATATGAACAAAACGAGTCTCTATTCATAAAGTTATATATTTTTTTTCATTATTTAACACATTAATACTCAAAAATATTTTTAATTATATGGTAAGAAAATTTTACGTCGCATGCAAATTACGCAATTTTATATGCAGAAACAGAATTTTTTTAAAAAACAAAACGCCAATTAATTGATTACCAGCAGTTCAATGAAGCTTATAAAGTCTCATTGCATCACAGACATTTCAATTTATTTCGATAAAATAACGTGTCACAAGAAACGTATTTCAATTAATCAAATATATTCACAACAAGTTTGAGATTAAAAAAAAGGCGAATAAGCTTTTAATCCAGTTTTTGAAGAGTATTAATGTCAAAAAAAGACCAAGAATATATAAAAGAGTCTCCAAAAGTAATTAGAAATGAAATTATTATGATTTTTTGTTCACTTCATAATTTCCTTTCAAAGATAATAAATGCTAATTTATTTACCTGGAGGGCAAATGCAATCTGTAGGCAGGATATTTCTTCTAAATCGCCGCGTTGAGAGATCATATCCTACTCGCTGAAAAGACAAAAACAAATGAAAATTAAAATGAGTTTGTAGTTCAAAGATCTACCGAATTCTTAAGAAATTTTTATAAACATTTAAATAAAAAAACAAAAACATATTCGTAGGAAGATGTAGCTAGAAAAATGCAAAATCTTTATCATTTTGACAAATGTCATTCTAATCATGCCACTTATAATCTTGATGTTATCCTGACAGATCATATCGGCTAAAGTTGTATCATCTTAATCTTATAATAATTTTAAATAGAATAAGGTTTCTAAAGCTCCACTCCACTTTTGTTTTGTAAATGTAAGCTGACATAATTATCAAATCCATCAGATATGTTGTGCTTAAACTTCTCGTGATCTTTCATTTATCTTTTGTTAAAATTATGCGTCACTTCGCATCGCATTCAAATAGGACATTCCAATTCGGGTACAGTTTCATTCAATGATATCAAAAGATATGAAATCTTTTAAAGCATAAATAAACAAATTAAGTAAAGTTTACTGACTGCATGCTTTTATTTTTAATTCTCTTACGACTCTTTCCATTTAACATATTTGCTTTGTTGATAAGCATTAACATGCAGAAACAAGCATTATGTAGTATAAACATTTAGAATACAAAGTAACGCGCATCCCGTTGAAAATATTACATGAAATCTACAGTTTTATTACCTTGCAAAAAATATTTATTGTATCTTAACATCAAAAATGGTGGCAGAAACTTTACCCCAAAAATTGAGTAATGAAACACCAATAATAGCTCTTGGTGTAGTCGGTACCACAAATTTTGTGACGCACTTTTTTTGGTGTAATGCAGTCACCCCCAATTTTAGTGTTTAGTAACACTTAAACTTGTGCTTGTGACAAAACATGAAAATAAGATCACGTAAAAGTCAATAATGTTATTTTTACGATACAATATATTGTGAATTTATAACCATCAATTTAGAATGCAACGATTCTTGAAATGAAATTATAGTTTGTTATAGTTAACAATTCGAATTAGGTTTAACAGTAAAAAAGCTGTCAGAAGTTAAATATTATAAGACCATTTAATGTAAACGACAGATTTATGTAAATCTTCTAATGAAAACAACTTTATCTTTAATACACAATTAAAAGCATGCATGCCTTTTGTAGCAATGAACTTTTTCTGAGGAATGTTAAGCAGCGTGCGAGACGACAACAAGCTTAAACTTTCGCGTGCTCTATATAAAATATCTATCTCCGTCATTTGACAACTTTCAAACATTTGCCAAAATTGACATTTTTGGACAAAAAAATCATGAATGGTGTAAATATGCCTGAGCTTGGTGTAATTATGGCCCCATTATTGATATTTAAATACACCCTTTAAAATGTGTGTGAACATTTAATTCAGTGTTAATTTACTATAATGTAATCATTCACATAAATTTTAGATTCTTTCAACACCAAATTTGGAGAGGTATTACACCAGAATTTTTGCGGAGTAGGAACAAAAAATAGAAAATAATATTTATTATATTACAAATGTAAGTAATTTTCTTGAGAGTCTTAATAAAAATGAACCCATGGATCAAATTCAATTTCAAAAGACGGAATTTCTTTACATTTCGATAAATTTATAAAACCCTTACTAATTTTCTATAGCCAGAATTATTTTCGAAAAAAAAGTTGCTAATATCTTCCTTATGAAAAACGACTTATTTTTTCCAAAAGCAATTGACTGGATGACTATTCATTTCAGCTGGATTATTACTTTCTGTCTTTAGATGCTATATCTTTAAGGTAAACAATAGAAAAAACTAGTTCTGATAAATAAAAAATTATTTTAATTTTGTAATTATAATCGAATCCTAGACTTTTTTCTACTTGAAAGAGTCCGCTGGAGAAATGACAGATATTATATTTATAACTATAAATAATATACTTTTCATTGCTCTTCGTCTGTCACCTGTTAAATCATTTAAAAACTATTATACTTCAAACTCAATGCATCGAGGTCATATTGGTAGGCAAATTTGTGCTAAGTGAGATTATATATAAAACAAAAACTATTAAAATCGCAGACTTTTGTATGATGTTGCCTTCCAGAAATAAAATTAAGAAATATAAAAGAATCTTCTGGTAGAGGATAAAATATATAACAAACAGCAAACAGTCAAAAAAAAAAAATTAAAATCCAAAGTTTGTAAATATACACTATGTACACACTATGTACACATTTTCTGTAAAAAGTAAACAAGGAGATTGTAAAAAAATTATCTTTCAGATTTGACTTTCAATTCTACCAACAACTAATAAAATATCTATGAAGAAAATGCACACTAAGTGTTACTTTAACCTAACGAAATGAAATTTGGCATACAACCTCTTTAAAAATCCTCTCTCAATCTTTGGCCTCTTTAAAAATTAAAAAAAAATAATTAAAAAAGACGTGTGAAACATTTTTTTCACATATAACAAGTGATTATTAAGTGCAAAATGTACTTAAAGTGTAAACCTTTCGCTGTAAAAGGTAGATTTAAGTAATTGATCCGTTGTTTTCCAGACATATGCTTAAAACTATCTTCAAACGTTTCCTAACTTACAAAGTAATGTTGTAAAATAGTTTTTAATCCGAAAATAAAGTTTTAAATTCATAATTTTTCTTGTTGAAAAAATGGAAAATTCTCAAAATTTTTAAAATTTTTTAATAAAATTTTTCATAAAAATATTTTATTACAATTTTGTTTGTTAAAATTCTTTATTAAAATAATTTATCAAAATTTTGTTTGTTAAAATTCTTCATTAAAATTTTATTCATATTTTAATAAAGAATTCTAACAAAAGGCTTATTCAATAAGTGTGTGCAAAATTGTTTGATTTTTTTTATTTTAATTGATTGCGACAACGGGAATGAAACTCGAAAAATTTTTTATTAAATGTATTCCTTAAATGACGAATAATTTCTATGAAAGCTTTTTAAATTCAGTATTTATATCTAAATTAACGTTAATGCGTTCGACGACTAAAATAAATTTTCCATTAATTTAATACTAACTCGCATAACCATTTTATAAAAATTAGGTTCGAAAAATATGTATTGAAATTGAGAATTAAGACAATAATATTGAAATCCATAAAGCACCGAAACTCCACCATTTCGGAAGCATGTCTTTTAAAACAAAAACTAAAAACTGATAAATCAATTATTTAATTTTTAGAATTCAATTTCGAGAAAAAAAGAAGTTACTGTTTACCTAATTACATTAATTTTTTTTAAAATCACATAAACATGATTTCTTTAAGAAAACACAGTGGTAGCTAACACTAGTAAATATTCAATTTGAGTACTACTTTTTTTAGAAAAGCATTCTTCACGTTAATGCTTCGATTGGGAATGAGTAAAACAGAGAATGGGAGTAAGTGCGTTTATCAGTTTAATTATATAAAAAAACTAAATTACTAATTATAGAATAAATCACATATTAAATCAAATACCTAAAGTGAAAAATACAGTAAATAGAATTTTTTAAGATAAAATAATAATTCCTTAATTTTAAGTTAAAAATCTTAAGTATCAGGTGAAATTTGAAAATGCTATGGAATGAAAAGAAGAGGAAAAGAAAAGAAGAAAATATATTATTATTTCCTCTCGGTTGAATTATTAGTGAAACCTGAAAAATAACAGCCGAAAACTCTTTTATTTCAGTGAGGAGGCAAGACTGGATTACAACCCGTAATCATGTATTTATTATGCGCGTGCACGGAAAAGAAGGACCTCGCGTAATTTAACTTCATGAAGAGAGAGAGCAAAGCAGGGATTTATAATACAAGCGTGGATGGGAATTGACGGCTGGGATGGCTAACATAGCGAGCATTAATAATGTTGGACAAAGGAAGCGCAATTTCCATGAAAGCCCGAGAAAATCTGATGGGCTTTATAACAGCCACCCCCTCCCCCTTCACTTCCACTCCACTCGTGATAAAAATAATTGATTGCTTCGTCGCTTACGGCACTTATAAATATAAATATATTTTTAAAAATATCATTTGATTTTTAGGTTTCATTTTATTTTGTGATAATTTTCCACGTTGGCGCTATCTTAATTCTCTACGATGTTGTAAATTTTAAAGTGTGAAATAGCTCTCTGGCTCTAATCTAAATCAAAAAGGCCCTAATCAAAACTTAAAGGTGCACTGTAAGAGAGGATTTCTCAAATCTGAACAAGTTTTTGTCAAAATATCTCTAAAACAAATAATTATTAAATTTGAAAACCCAACCACAAAATTGAAACAGCATACACTCATTTTCCAGCAAATGTTGTAGTTGTAGTTCATTTACATTGCACTAGAGCTGCACAATGGGCTATTGGCGACGGTATGGGAAGCATCCCTGAGGATGATCCAAATACATCCATCACAATTTTGATCCTCTGATGAGGGGATAGCACCTCTGGTTCGGTAGCCCGACGACCTGCACGCAAAGTCGAGCACTTTTCGGTAGCACAGTTTAACGATGACCAATACCGCACATCCTCGGTCCCTACGCAGACTAATCAAAGATGTCATCCATCTGCACACTGACAGCAGCCAGTGATGCTTGACTTCGGTGATCTGCTGGGAACCGTGTCGTAACGATCAGTCCACTGTGGGACCATTTTTCAGAAAAATGCAAGTGAAAGGCGAAATGTGTGAGAGAAGAGTTCGCTGGCTGCCGGCAGGATTCGAACCAAGGACCTCCGGGTTGGTAGTAGTATGCTCTAACCATCATAATTGTACACCTTAATCTAGAGAGAAGTTGGAAGCGTTATATAGAGAGGTCTCCAACACATGATGACATGCATCCCGATTACTTAAAAGTTAAGATCTATTGATCTGAGTAAAAAGTGAAATTAAGATTACCAATCACTTGATCAAGCTCTTAGGACCATATTTTCCAAATTGTAACCATTTGTACCACTGAAACTGGAAATTAGTATGTCATGAAGTGTCAGTCACTGTATATAGCTTCCTAACTATCCATGGACTGGGGTGTAC